TTTACAAAACAGCCCAAAACGTAGATATGTGGGATGAGCAGAGAGATTTTTGACTGCTTGAAACGTGAACAAGATATTTGCGTTAAAACCATAATACCCAGCCAACATACGGCCTTCATGTTAACCCCCGCCTTAACCCTTCGCTTATTCATTTCCCTCCAGCGAAGCGACAGGGCAACTGGGCAATGGAGAAGTTATTGGAAAGGACTTTTAGAAAATCTAGGGATGTAAGGATGCTGCGAAATAATTCGGTTATTGTCTTATTTCCACAGAGTTCTGGTTACATCTTTGGTGCCCACACAAAGCGCCGTCCGCTGACCCTGGGTGATCGCGTACTTGCTCTTTCCGATCCAGGTACATGGTGCACTTTTACAGGCTTGTGATAACATTGCAAGTTTCCTATGTTAAAAGAAAAAGAAAAAAGTTTCCCATTTACTATAAGATGATGATTGGTTCTCCAAGCGTAAAACAAACTAGACATTTACCAGTGACTATTTATTAACAGTATACACATTCTATCAGTGGCAATCAGTCATTCCTGAGAAATGCTCTGAAGAAAATGGTCTAACAACTGCGCTAAAATGCGACTTTGTAATCGGTAATTAGGAGCAGTTTCAGCGCTCATGTTTAATTGTTTTTCTTTTTTTTTATCGCGTGACCCAGAGATTTCTAGCAAAATTCGTCTTAGCTAACCGACTTCACTAGCCTGCATTTGAAAAAACCCCAATTGTCACTCTTTTTTTAATTATTGTATTTTTTTTTTCAGCACTGTACGTGTATTTACCTGGCTGGATCACTGGTGCTAATGACCGCAGACTGGTCATCAAGTTTTGTAATGGTAAAAGGTACGCCACTTGAAAGATTGTCTCTTTACTACCACGGGGCAGCGTGAGAGGCGCGGTGGACTCGGTCCCTCCCGATCAAGAGGTTCGAGTCCTGTCAGGGGTCATTAGGTCGTGTCGTTGGGCAAGACACTTTCCGCTCACAGTGCCTCTTCCAACCCAGGTGTACCCAGGGTGCCGGTCATTTTATGCTAGGGGCGGGGGTTAACCCTGCAATGAACTATCATCCCATCCAGGGGGACTAGAAATTGCCCTAGCCGTTTCATGCTACGGAAACCGGGATATGCTTCGGCGGTATGGTCCACTTGGCTCGAGGCAGAGTTTGCCTACCCGGGGCAACACCAGCTCATGACGAATTTTGGTCTTTGAGACTGCACAGAGCTCGCGGGGTTTTTCGTATCAGAGTAGCTAGGCAACTGATCGCGCTATGAGAGCGTAACGTTTCGGAGGACTTTCGAGTATTCTCAAGTGATTGGTTAATAACAATCGAAAACTTTAAAGGAGTGCTTCAATGAAGAATTGCCTAAAACGAAACTTTGCTTTTCTTCCGTCTGTAACAGTTTAGCAGCATCTTTTTTTACTTATCTTTTTTGCTATATTTTCAGCTCAAGTCACGTGGACCCGCAGCAGTGTTTCTGGTTATCACGTGACTACTATGACCGCATGGTGGAAAACTATAAAAAGAAGAAGGACCAAGCCAAGGAAAGATGACGAAAGACTGTCACGTGACGCAGTTCTTCTAGAGGAATTGATTCTACTTTTTTGCGATGAGAAAGAACTGTGAAATAACTTTCGACATGAATGTATATATTATTTCATCAGTGTAATTTGCAATAAGCTCTCAGTTTCATCTCTTAGTCATCAGATCTAAGTTCCATTTAAACTATGAATGTAAATGCAAAAAAGGAATACAAAAAGAAATTCACTATGAATACAAAACCACAGCCGCTTTTTTACGTCCCTACACCTACCTTTGCTTCAATTGACATTTTCTGCTCTCTGGAAAGAAAAAGAACTTTTGTAAATAGAGTTTTAGCGCACATTCATTTGTTCTGGATGTTAAGACGCGGTTGAAATAAAGCCACACAAAATGTTTCTATTTTGGTGTGTTCTTGTGTCATCATGTGCTTAAGCAAACTCGTTTCACGTCTTTTCTCTTAGATTCGGCAAGTGTGGTTTGCGTGAGGTAGTCTAACGAATCAATTCTGCGGGATCTCTTTGCGAAGACATAAGCCTTATCAGTAACAAAGATCTTACCAGTCTGGCCTTCCCCGTTGTAAAGTTTCCCATGCGTCGTGTTGTGTGTTGTAAGTTTCCTTGTAACGCACGTTATTTCCCACTTTTTCCAGTTCAGACTTCCCAAATGGTTCACTCCTTTACCGTAACCAAATGCGCAATTAGCCAATCGGAACCCGTGTCTGCTGTCCTGATCAAATCACGGACGTGATACAAATATGGCTATTACACCGCATGTGTGACTATAGCTTTCCCCCGTCAAACCTCTCGTTTAAGTCTCGGTGCGTTTCGTGTGTCTAATACTGAGTTACTCGCGCGTTCTCGGATCCCTATGAAATGTACTCTAGCCTGAATTTCTCTGGCATTTCCTTGTCCGTTACACCGTGCGTTCCTTCGCACATTTCCTAGAGCGTTTCATGATATACCCCTGCGTTTTTTGTACCTCTGCTTTTCATATACCCCTGCCTTTCATATATCCCTACGTTTCATATACCCTTGCGTTTCATATATCCCTGCGTTTCATATACCCTTGCGTTTCATATACCCCTGCGTTTCATATACCCTTGCGTTTCATATACNCCCTGCGTTTCATATACCCTTGCGTTTCATATACCCCTGCGTTTCATATACCCTTGCGTTTCATATACCCCTGCGTTTCATATACTACCTCTGCCTTTCATATAACCCTGCGTTTCACATACCTCTGCTTTTCATATCCCTTTGCGTTTCAGATACCCCTGCCTTTCATATACCCCCGCGTTTCATATACCCCTGCATTTCATATACCTCTACGTTTCCATACGTTTCTCGTTGCATTCCGCTCTATGTAACTCCGTGCGTTGTGCCTTGACTTCCCGGTGGGCTTCTTGTTTTTCACGGCACCGCTCCATCTTTGCGTTCACTTATCTATCCGTTAAAATGTTTCTATCGTGCATTCTCCCATGTGTTCCCCGTACGTTCTCCCATGGGTCCTGCCTGGTTTCTTGCTAACTTCTCTGTTCATCCGCGGCGGTTTTCACTGCCCTACAAAACATGGTAGATTGTGTGGGCTACCACAGGTGGAGCACTCTATGTGTTCGTGGTTAATAAATACAAAACGGACAGAATCTATGAGGGTTATGAATAAAGCTCTGAAAATTGCATATCTAGATTACATCTCGGTCTGAATATCCCAATAAAGTTAAATGAAACGCTAATCGACTCGTGTGGTGTTGTTTCGCCTTCCTGGGGCGTCTGAAGCGTCTTTTTGCGAAATTACTCTTGGTAAAAACCCAACCAGTTTTGGGAAAAGTTCAATTTTTCAGCTCTTTCCGTGACTGGCTAAGACTGCGATGAAATCAGAAATGTGAACAAAGCCAAACAATGGCATATGCAACATGCAAAACAGTCAACGCTCTTGCGCGTAAACAGATGGTTATGTTTCTTGAATCAATTTGATCGAGCTTATGTCTCTCGAGCTAGGTTTATTCCTCATTTGTTCGTTCTGGCACCACATGATTCAAATGTAGCTGTTTACGCGCCTGTTGACTGTTTTATATGTTGTATATGCCATTGTTTCCCAAAACCGGTAGGTAGAATCGCGAAATTGTCTTTCCCACGGGCTAGATATACTAGGCAGACTATTTTGCTCCTTCCTTAGGGCTTGAATATTAGGGAAATCTTGCAGAGAATTGTCCAAGATTGATCACAATTCGGCTCCCTCGAAATTGCGCACGCAGATTGCGCCCACCATCTTTCTGATTGACAAGAAATAAGGCAACCAACGGAGTGATGACAGTACTGTCAAAATCAACCAATCAGAGGGTATAGCAGCTTCTGCTGTACTAGAAGATCAGAGGGTCGTTAAAGATATTCTTACAGGCTCTCTTGCCGTTCCTTAGTCCTCCTTCGTTTTTTTCTTTTGCTCGCCCTCTTTTTTGCGCTCGTCCCCAACTACCGTGAGCCTAGAACAGGCTACCGCCATGTTGGATGACCATTAACAATAGAATTCTAAGTGGCTTTTTTGTTCCTGTCATCCAACACGGCGGGGCTAAAGCACAGGTCACAGGTCACAGGTCAAAGTTTACAGGTCACAGGTCACAATAAAAAATAATTGTGAATTTGCGGTGAGTTCGTATTTATATCGTATTTAGGTCGCATTTCGTATTTAGACACATCCCTATCCACCCAATGATGTGGTCCTCTCACGTATCTCTCTTAAATCCTTTTAACAAATGTTAATCTAAGATTGCTAGTTTGAGATTTCAATGTCCTTGAAATCCGCCTCTATCAAAAATTTTCTTAGCCATATTTGCTCTAATAAGGTAATAATGGTTTGTTAATGGTTTCCTGGAAAGTTACTAATGGTTTGAAGTAGCACTGATATACACCCTACCCCAGAAGGGATAAAGCCAAAAGGTCACGTGATCAGTAGTCGAACACATCAACCTCGTCCCCAGGGCCTTCTCCTCGACGATTTTCAAAATGGCGGCACAGGGAGCTCTCACATCCGTTTAGAACATGAATAAAAGATGAACCTACCTTTATCGCGCGTGTTTTGTGTTTTGTGGCGGCCATTTTGAATTTTTAATACGCCCGCGGTGTGCTAGTGCGAGGTCTGGAGCCGAAATTACGGAAGTCTGGGACGGGCGGGAAAATTCGCAAATTCTCGGAGGTAGCCGATAGCTCACCGAGGATAATAAAAGCAGGCCCCGAGCGATTTTCCGTAATTTCGGTTCCAGACCTCCCACTAGCACACCGCGTATTAAAAATTCAAAATGGCCGCCACAAAACACAAAACACGCGCGATAGAGGTAGGTTCATCTTTTATTCATGTTCTAAACGGATGTGAGGGCTCCCTGTGTGGCGGTTCGTCGGGAGAAGGGTAGCGAAGATAGCCGACTATATGAGGTGAGTGGCCGATTTCTTTTCGTTTTTTAGAGG